GGGGAGGTGCCCGGCTGAACGAGGGGCTGCCGCAGGAGCCCGTGGCAGTCCTGGGGCTGACATCTTGGGGCATCTCTGTCGACACAGGTACAGCAGCAGCAGAATAAGGAGAGAGCCCAGGCCACTTGCGCTGCTCTGATGCACACCTACAGCAGCATAGCCCTGTGTGCACCCAAGGAGCAGCTGCTCGCCTGCGTGGAGAAAGAAATTGTGGGCAACATTCTGCAGCTCTGCGGAGCCAGAGAGAGGGTAGGAGCTCGGGGTGCGCAGGGCAGGGCTGCCTGGGTGCCCTCGCTCCAGCCCCTCGGGGCTGGGGCATACCGAGATGGTGGGTCTGTTTCTAAAGATCCCCCAAGCACGGGTTTGTTCTCCCCATCCAGATGCAAACCCCCCACGGGTTCCCTCTGCCCATGCTCCTCTTGCACCCCTCAGTCCTTCCAAGAGTTCAAGGGGTGCTTTGCTCTCTTTGCCCTCAGGACTGGCAGCTCAAGCTGGCCTTGGTGCAGAGCGTCACTGAGGTCAGCAGTGCCATCCAGGCTGTGGGCGACTGCGGCAGCTTTGAGCTCGGCTTGAAGCAGAAGGTGATGTGGACCCTGCTGGTGAGTGTCTGTAGCTGGGGCAGTGAGACAGGGGAGTTTGGGGCTGCGCCATGCTCTGCTTTCCCCAGAGGCACGATGGTCTGTCGGCTTGGTGGGAGCTGCTGGAGCTGTGTCCCGAGCTGGTGGGGCCCTTGGGTGCCTTGGGGCATCCATGGGGGTGACGGGGCAGCGTCTGTCAAAGCCTGTCAGCAGGGGAGGGCTGTCCCGTGCCCCTGCGGGCTGCCAACTCTGTGCTTGTGTCTCTGGGCCTCACAGGACTGGTTGGAGAGGGAGCCGTGGGACTCCCTGGTGCATGGAGTGTTGCAGCCCCTGGAGAAGTTGAGGTGAGGTCTGTTCCCCGGGCTCTGGGGCCTCCCAGTGCGCCCCAGCCAGCCCAAGTGACTTGAGCTTGGGGCCGGGAGCTGCTGGGGCTGTGGAGCGGGAGGCTGTTCCCCATTGTGGGGGTCTCCCGAAGGAAGGGAGCCCTGGGGGTTCCTCAACCTGGGGGTGGGGGTTTGCCCACTGCCTGGGCAGAGGCAGGAGTTGCTGGAGCTGAAGGCAGGGCTTGCTGGCGTGGGCTGGGCGTGTTGTATTTGGGGCCCTTGATTAGGTGGAACCCAGTTGTGCTTTGAGGCACGCTGGAGAGGGCAAGTAAATCCGCTTTCTTTTTTCTCTTCATTTTTCCTCTGGCCAGCAAGCTGAGGCCACTTCTGAGCCAGGAGGACAATCGGAAGCTGCTGGCAGTGTGCTGCCACAGTGTCGTGTCCTATCCGCCTGAGAGGCAGAAGGGAAGGCAGGCAGCGAAGGCAGCTGTAAACGTTCAGGTACCCAGCGGCCAGTGCCTGCCCACCTCTGGGTCAGGTTCCCAGCTCAGCGTGCCCTGGCCGTCCCCATGGTGCAGAACCTCAGCTCTCCTTTCCTGCCTTCAGGTTCTGCACAGCAGATGCATGCAAGATCTGGGCCACCTCATAGCAACTCTGCTGGAGGCGGAGGCAAGCTCGACCAGCTTGGACGACGTGGTCGATGTGAGTAGCCCTGGGGCAAGAGGGAGAGCGTCAGAGGGGCAGGGCATTGAGTCTGCAGAGGGTGGCAAGAGGTGGATACCTTTGCTATGGGAAAGCAGGGCTTTGGCTCCTCGCTCTGAGGCTGTGTGTTTGTGCGGGGCGAGGGGCTGAGCTGGGGGACGCGAGCCCCCGGCCATGTGGCCTCAGGACAGGCAGAGAAGTGGGCCGTGCCAGAGGGAAGGCCGGGAGCCAGCCCGGAGCTGGACGAGAGCAGCCGGGGTGGGGGGGGGGAGCCGCTGGCAGGGAGGCAAGAGCCGTCTGAGGGCAGAGGCAGCGGGGGAGAGCGGGGCGGTGGAGACAGCAGTGCCAGTGCTCGGTGGGGCTGGGGGCTGCGCCAGGAAGGGGCCAGAGAAGGAGGGAGATGGAGAGAGATCTTGGGGAGAGAAAGACGCCGGTTGTAAGAGAGATGTGCCCTGCCCCAGGTGCTGAAGGACTGGCTCACCTCGGGGACAGAATGGGAGCGGGAGAGAGCCCTGTGGATTTTAGCCCATGTGCTGGGAGCTTACAAGGAGCGATTTGAGCTGATGGTGAGTAGGGACCTCCTGTGTCCCACTGTGCCCCCTCCCCATCATTGATGGCCCCGGAAGAAAGCCCGGCCAGCGGGTGCTGGGGCTGCCTGCGACCCTTTCCCTGCTGCTCTTCCCTGCAGAGAGGACGTCCTTGGAATGGCTTCGGCTCCCTGGTGGGACTGCTGGGCACTCTGACTTGCGACTGCGTTGCCACGATCCACCAGAGGCCGTGGCTCTGCCTTGCCTACCTTCTCCAAATACAAGGTGAGGAGAGCGGGCGCTTCCCAGCTGTGCTCAGCCAGATCCTTCCTCCCTTCCTGGCTTGGCACGACCGGGATCCTGCAGGGCCCGTCCCCGTCCCCGGGAGGGAAGCGGGAGACAAGGTGCTCGGCTGGTTTTGTGCCCCCAGCTTGTAAGTCCTCTGCCTCCCTGGCCGTCTCAGGAAGGGTCCCTGGGAGAGAGTGGCTGAGTCCCACCTCCTCGGAGCACGTGTGATGGTGGGTGGTCAGGGCCATCCCCTGCTGCTGTCTGAGGGCAGGACATTGTCGCCAACGCTGGGAACTGTCCCCCGCAACGTCTGTCCCCCTCCACATGCCAGGAGAGGCAGAGGCTGGTCAGCCACCTTGCTCGGATGAAGTCCCTGATGTTTCAGAGGATGCCTTCCCCTTTGCTCGCTACCTTGAGCCTGGAGAGACAGGCAGCTAGCCAGGCAGTCTCCAAACTCACCCCTGCCAGGGAAGACATCTCCTGCCGAGCACAAGAGGGGAAGCCAATTTGCTGCCCAGAGCAAAGTGGGTGGGGAGGAGGCCTGGCGCGTGCTGCAAAGGGTTGTCTTTCACCCCTTTCCTCTTCAGGCAGCGGGGTCTGCGTGTGCTGGGGAAGTCCCAGGGAGTTTTCCCGAGTCCCAGAGACGAAGGTGGCCTGTGTGGGAATCAGGGACACAGCTGCTGGGAGCAGAGGCCGGTGGCTGCTGAAACCCTGCAGCCCCAGCAAATAGTTCAGGGAGGAAGAGGGATCTTTCCAGCCTGGGATTTGTCAGCCGCTTCTCGAGCTCAGGAAACCCTGCTGCACCGAGTTCAGGAGGGCCTGGCTTTCCCTGTGGCCTTCGCTGCCACCACTTGGGTTCTCCTTGAACAGTATCCGGGGCCAGAGGCTGGGTTTCCGTAGACATGACTCCTCTTTTCTCCTGGTGTTTGTTTCAGCCAAGACCAGGAAGGTGGTGTCTGGGGCAGATGAGATCAGGCGCCTGTGTGAGGAGCTGAGGAGCCCAGAGCCCGAGACTCTGAAAGAGAACGGTGTCGCAATAGCAAAGGTAACTGGCCCCAAAGCAGTGGGCTGGCGGCCCAGCTCCGGGGCTCCTGCACATCCCCCTGCTCCCCTCCAGAGCCTCGTGCTGTCTCCGGAGCGACCTGCCCAGGACGGCTGTTGTTAGCAAGCAGGAGGAGGCTTTGAGGCAGGACTGCCCTTTAGGCATGCTGGAGCAGATCCTCTGTGTGTGTGTGTGTGAGTGAGTGAGTGAGTGCTCTTGTCAGAACACAACTGTGGTCTGTAAGCAAACAACACGGGGGGAGACGCTTCCACATCAGTTGGCTGCATCAGATGTAAACAGCACTGTGTGCACAGCGGGAGGATCAAGCCCTCACCCCCTCCATGACTGCCACACTGGCAGTCCTGTCCAGCTTCCTGTCCGTGCCGCATTGCTGGAGCAGAGCTGTGATGCAGTCTCTTCTGTTCCTGACTTCTCTCCAGGCCATTTGCAAATACATCCCTCCAGCGCAGGCGAGAGACTTTCTGACCGCTGTCCTGGACAGCCTCAGGCACGTCAGACCCACGTGTGTGAAGGCAGTGTGGAAGTGGGTGTGTCGCTTCCTGGTGGAATCCACCGAGGAAATAGTCCCGGAGGTAAAGGAGAACTTTTTTTTCCATTCGATGTTGCCTTTTCTCCTGTTGGCTGTTGCACTGCACCCTGTGCAGTTGGCACGGGCTCAAGAAACAGCGCCGGTGTGCCGAGCCGAGGGGCTGCTGATGGTTGGAGTTGTGCATTAGCACCTGCTGCTGGTGTCCGCTCCGTCTGGTGACAAGGACACGGGCACCTCTTGTCCGCCGTCTCCCATAGTCCAGGTCCTTGCCATGAGGGAGGCAGCTGTCACTGGGAGGCCTCGCCTTGCCGTTCCTGCCCTTCCTCTGAGGTCACTGTCAGCCCTCGCTGCCCAGGGACGCGCTTCACCCTGCTCTTTGCTTTCCCCGGCTGGGGTGTTACCCAGCCTCCGAGGTGGCCTTGCAAGGCCACACGTGTGCAACTGCCAAGAGCACGCTCAGCTCCGGCCATGAGCCAGGGTCAGGCAGGGTGGAACGGGGCGAGGTTTCGAGCTAGACCTGGGCTCCCTGTCACGGGAGCAGGCATTGCTCACGTGCTGAAGGACCGTGCCTGGGCCCCGCAGGAAGGGGTAAAGGATGCACCGAGCCCTTCTTTCTCCCATTCTTCCATCCAGATGCCAAAAATCCTGCAGACCCTTTACACCTACATGGAGAAGAGCCCCCACAGGCCCTTCTCTTTCCATGCGGTGTTCTTCCTCACCTGCTCTCACCGGGAGCCTGCGATCAGCTGTCTCCTCCAGAAGGGTCTGCCCATGGACGGGTACGTGCACTACCCACCTCCCTCGCTGTAGTCAGAGAGAGTCCTCGCAGCTTGCTTGTGCTGTGGGGGGTGGTTAAGAAGCAGGTCTTTTTTCTGCCTGAACTGTCTTGTGCTTGTGTCTGGACCGCGAGTGGAGCGTTGTAAGCCCCGCTGCAGACGAGGAGAAGGTTTGAGGGCGCTGCAGCACTGCAAGGGTACAGGCTCAGAGGTGAATGTCTGTTCCCTTACAGAGACACGGTGGAGCTGTGGAGGAGCCTCGGGAGAAGCACCATCGGGACTCGGGTCCTGAAGTGCTTAGCAGAGAAACTGAACCGAGTGGGGAACAACTGCCTGCAGGATGAGGACTCTGCTTGTGAGCGGCACAGCCGTCGCGCTGCTCTGGAGGCTGTGACGGTACGTTCAACAGCAGACGCGTTTCTGCATCTTCGCTTCTGCTTTCTAACTCGTTCTTCGGCGCGAGGGAGTCGGGTGCCCTTTGTGGATGCCCGTGGAGACTCCCAGGGCGCTGTGCTGGGCCGGCCTGCGGTGTGGGGAGCGGGGACAGTTTTGTGCTCCTGAGGCACAAGGCTGTTGCAGAAGTGACGATTGTGGAGAGTAAGCACCCTGCCCAAGGCAGGCAGGGAACCAGGCTGGTGGAAAAGGCCTTGCCTGACCAGGTGGTTCTCCGTCATGTTCCTCTGTAGATCACCCATGCCATCTCCGAGGTGGTGCTAGCTCTGGGGAGCACAGAGGAGCTCAAGCGGCTGCTTCCCCACCTGCTTCCCAGCCTCCTGAGGTGGGCCAGTGAAACACTGGGTGAGGAGAGATCGCTTTCTCCCCTGAGCACCTGGAGAGAGCTGTTCCTCGAGTGCGGGATCGCTGAGGAGAAGCCTTGCAGGTAAGGAGCCGGAGCTTCCTTTGAAGCTTTGGCTTCAGTTCCCCTTGCCAGGACATGTGCATTGATGGGACCCTCAGCGGGAGGAGCGTGCCCCTCGCGGGCACCCGCATCATTCTTGGCAAAGCGCTGGTGGGAAGAGGTAGTAGGTGTTGCCGTGGTTATGTAGCACGGAGTCAGCTAGGGACGTGGGTTTTCTGCTGCTTGTGTGGGTTTGGGGGATGGAGAAGATGCCAGTGTCGTTAGCTGCAGTCTTGCAGGCCCTGAAGCATCATTTCAGGGGTATTTAGCTTTGCCACAGATGAATTTTTCCCCTAACCTGCTGTGATTTCCAATTTCTTTGGGTTTGTGGCTGTGGTGTTGTGTTGTTTTGTTTGACTGCGTTTTGACTTGTGTTGTGTTTGGTTTCATTTCCCAGGCTTTTCCTTGTGGCTTTAGAGAAGGTGCTGGGCAGATGCCTGGCTGACAAATGGATGCGGCTGCTGACGAATCAGGCGGCCTGGGCTCTCCTGGAAAATCCCCTCTGTCACCCTGATGGGGTGACTCTCCTGACCAGGTAAGAGCCCCAGGGATGCATCTGGCCACGTCCAGTGGAGCTGTGCCCGGGGAAGTGGCTGCCGGGACCCTTCCGGCGTGCCTGGGAAGCTGTCCTGAGCAGAAGAAGAGTGTCTGCGTCAGTGCAAGTGAGGTTTGGAGACCTGGCCTGTGGCCTTCCGGGGTAACTGTGTGTCCCTCGCTTGTGCTCCCTTGCGCAGCGTCCTGCTCCGCGCTGAGCTCGTATCGCCGTGTCTGATGAAGAACCTCTCGGCATGGCTCGATTCCCGCTCGGCGAAGCTGTGGGTGACAGCTGAAGCTTTCTTTGCTGAGGTAAGGCAGGGGGTCGGCAAGGAAGGGTTCAGAGGGGTTTGACTGAGATACTGCTCCTTGGGATGTCTTTTTTTTTTTTTTTTGTGGGAAGATGCCTGGAGGAAGGGTCCCTGGAGCAGGACAGCCAGAGGAGCGCCTGGCTGGGACCAGGTCCCCATGGTGCTCCTTGTGTCGTTGCAGCTCTTACAGCACTACGGTGTGACAGGTCCTGAGGGGTGAGGCGGGCGCTGGAGGAGTCCTTCTGCAACACCTGGCCCCAGCCAGCACCAGGGAGTTCAATAAAGCTCACCAAAAACTGCCTGAAGCAGAGCGTATCGCTTGCCCGGTGGCACAGTGTGGGGGTAGCAGGGGGAAAGGGAGGCACTGGGTGGAGTAGGGGACACTGGGAGCAGGGTGGGACGAACTGAGGGACACAGCAGTTTGAAGGGGGTGGAAAGGAGGGCAGCCGGGGGATGAGTGGGGGTGTTGGGGGGAATCTTAAAGGGTCAACAATGGCTTAGGGGCTGAGCAGAGGGACAGAGTGAGGCAGAGGGGTCTGGCTGGCCCATCGGACCCCTGCCCGTTAGCACAGGCCCCACTGGTGCTGCTCCACAGCCCCGGCAGGGCTGGGCACATCCGCATGGAGCAGGGGCAAGTCCCCACAGGGATCTCGCTGGCAGAGGAGTGGTTTCATCCCTGGGGCTGCCGCGTGCTCTGGCCCCACTGCGAGCCCATGTAAGCCTCTGGTTTCCTGTCCTAGGGGTCCCACCGTGTGTCTGGTCCAAGCTGAAGACTCTGCAAAGTTTGCTCCAACGCAACACATGCTTTCACCTCGCGCAGCGACATTGCTTGGTCGAGGTGAGGATGGAGCTGTGAGAGGAAGCTGAACCCCTTTCTGGATTGAACACCAGGCTGAAGGTGTTCTGCTGTGAAGGGCACCAGCAAGGGCTGAGGTGCTGGGGCCAGGGGAACCTACCTATATGCTCTTACGTGTGGCATGCTAGAAATAAGTCAGTAGAACAGGAATGCAGACCAGCTGAAACTGGAGATTTTTCATCTGTGCCACTCAAGGCAGCTCCATTGCATTGGATGGAATGGTGATAGCTTACAATAAATAAGGCTCACCTGTGAGGTTCTTCTTGAAAATGTGACAAGCTTTCTGAAAAGCTGTAGGGAGAACTGTGGAAACTAGAAATAGGAGCTAAAGATGACTGGTTACAGCATCTCTGCAGGGGCCCAGTCAATGATATGGATTTATTTACAATTGAGGAAAGAAGTACCTTAGCTTTTGCCCTAGGACTTTTCTTCAGGATCTGATTCTTCAAAATTCAGAGGTACTTCTAGAAGTGCTAACAAAACTTGTCTCCTGCACGAAGTCTGTGTCTGAATCACCTTTTGAGAATTTCCAGAAATAGTTCAGCAACTTTTGCTATGAATCCTGAAACAGGCAGCTTCCTTCCTCCTTTGGTTTGAAAAGGAATTAAAGGTTTAGCTGGATTCATGTGAATGTTGCTGATTATTGCACTGCACTGTGATTACTGTTTAGCTGGTGTATTTGCTAATGATGGGATAGTTGAACTTCAGAAATGTAGTGCTAATGATGCTTTTCCTTGACCCTGTAGTGGAATGAGTGCTTTTTGTGTAGTGGAGCAGAGATATTGAGCATTACCAAGACTAGGCTGTGTGCTGCAGAACTCATCTGATCTTTGTGTATAATAGGTTTGCCTGTTTTTTTACAAATACTGTACCCTAAAGAGTTGTAACACAAAACAATTGAGTTACAACAGAGTATCTGAGCTCAACAGCTGTAACCACTCACGTGTTAGAGAAGACCAAAACCTTGCAGTGATAGATGCCAGGAACTGTGAGGTGCTAAACTGGCAGAAGTAAGCAGTCATACTTCTGTGACTATTGCTTGTAAAGTAAAATTCTCATTTTGTTTCAATATGAGCAACAAAACTGAGCTTCTGGGTGTATCGATGGTCAAATGCCTTTAGTCTTGGATCACTAGAAAAGAGCAGAGGATATGGTCTGTGTAACCACTTCAGTCATTGTTGTGTCAGAGAATATCAAGGGTTAACAAGAATAGCAAAGCTGTATAGATGTTTTTCACAATAAAGATGCGACTCTAAAAATAACTGGATGGAAACTACACAGTGTATCTGGAGGAGAACAAACTTCAGGAACTGCAGACTTGGAATTTGTTTGGAGTGGTGGTGGATGCAATCCCATAGCCACTCTTTTCAAAGCTTATTTTCCCATCTCACGCACGCAAACGAACATCTAAATGCTTGTGCCGCAGATGCAGGAGTGCAGAAAACAGGCAGACAGGTTTTAATCAAACTTTATTAAACTTTTTAATAGATGAGCACCGTAAGGCATTCTTTTTAAAGTTTAAGGTCAGATGATCTCATGATTTTTCCAGGTTAGAGGTTACTAATTTATAATAAGGTCAGGAAAAACAATCAGCTTTAAAATTGAGTGTACCTACTCTTTTGTTTGCTGTACAACCTGCTGTTTGATGAAAATTAATCAATTCACCCCACGTTCTGTGCTGCAAATACAGAGGCTATGAAAGCCTCTTAATCTCAATCTAAAATACTCTTGCTGTTACTGAAATTGAATCTGCTGTGGCCTGTCACCAGGCAGATGCGCTAGACTCATTCTTTTTTGCTTTCTGGCATCTATAGCTTTCCCACCAGCTAAACTGGACAAATTGCGGTGTTGATTTGCTTAGTAAGGACTCGGGGTAGCATGCAAAGATTGAGTGAACTCCTTTCCTCTCCCACCAGTCCATAGAGGAACCGAGGGGTGGGAGGGTATTGGGCGTGTGTGGGGACAGCAGGATTAAGTCATGTGTAGGGATAGCAGGTTGAGAAAGAGATTAAGGCACCAGGGGTGGGCGTCTTCCCTTCAGAATGTTTCACTGTAATAATCCACAGCAAAACCTGGTGCTGGGATTTTTAGATTTTCAATATTTTGGCATAAACCACCCTGGAGAAGGTGGAACCTTCCTCAGACTTAAACTTTGTGATGACTTTCTTCTTTGCAGTAGACCTTAATCTCTAAACTCTTAAGAACCATCAGTTCAGAATCTGGCAGTTGTAGTTTACTTTTTCTCCAGGCAAAGTAGATAAACAAGAACTTGGGTGTTGCTTGTTTCTTGGGCAGACTGAAGGTCTGTATCTATATCTATATATATTTATATATGTGTGTGTGTGTATATCAGGGATCTATACCAATTTCATCTACAAAAAGTACTCTTCTCCATGACATGATGTAATGTGTCTCATACTTGCTGTTTTACAAAAATGCTGTTCATCCCTGGATCTACAGGTTGCTGTTGTTCTGGGGACCCTTTGAACTGAGAGGCAGCAGATAAAACCTCAATGTTGAGACTCCTGTTT